TTACCTTTACCCTTGCGGAAACATAGTCAGCCGGCTGAAACAAACGTTGGTATCATAGACAGAAGAAGACACGCGTCATCGGCAAATAGCGTACTTCGATAGGCCCAAGCCGTCAAAACTACGCAGTTGACCGTCTCGTCGACCAGACGGAATAAGTCGGCTCTGACATCTGAGGACATACTACGTAGTCGGAAATGTCAGCCATATTTACTGCAATCGCGGCACGTGTGTTGGGAAATTGTTTACTGATTTCTTGGGAGATCACTTTGTTCGAGCTTGATTTTATAGAACATAGATGCTGCCAAACCTAAAGAACCGCACGTAAATGATGCTCTAATAATATTATTATTATTATTATTAATCGTTACTCAACCAAGAAAGACTGCGACACCACAGGAACACCATTGGCTCATACTTGAGTCCCGATGCTGCATTACTATAAAAAAAAATAATGTCACACGAAACACACTCGCATACGCACACGCACGCACGCACGCACGCACGCACGCACGCACACACACACACACACATACACACACACACACACACAGAGGGGGTGTATAGAGAGAGAGTATAAATTACTGACCTCATGCACCGGCGGAGAAGCTGTTGTCTGCGCGGCTCATATGGAAACGCTTTACTTCACGCGAATCTCTGTTCTGCACACTCGCAGTGGCCACACCTGATCTGGGCAAATGCGAACCTCTATGGAAACAGTGTATTGCTCTATAGTCAGATCCTAGTTAAGAATGCGCAGGAAGCTCCTTTCACACCCTCTTTACCGCCAGTCAGTGTTCCTCCGCGATCCGCAAAGAGTCCGCTACCACGGCGCACGTCGCGCTGACATCTGTGGGAATCCGTGCGTACTGCTAACCAGCAAGGAGGAAGAAAGACTAAGCACAGAAAAACACACCTTTATCCGAACAAGTCCAGCAATCGAGTGCACCCCCTCCCAGTATCTGGTCTGGAACACGCCGTCTTTCTCTCCCGTAAGCTCGCACGTCACATAACTCGACAAGGATAGTGCCGTTCACATTACTCGACAAGCTCAGAGCCACGGAGCGATCGGATGCCGTGACATGTACGTGGTGGTGCTCATTTGGCGCATTCTTAAGTTGTGTCCGACTATAGTAAAATATTTAGTGTTAGGTCCGGTTCACACACTTGCAACCGAGTAGGAACGGTTGAGAGAAGACCGATTTTAAGCCTTTTGCGCTCCGCAGCAGCGCATCCGGTCCTACACCATTGCAAGAGGCTTAAAAATCGCTCTAGTCTCAGTCCTTCTTTACTCGGTGGAAAGTGTGTGAACGGGCCTTTAATTTGCGTGTAGCGTCAGTTGTGAATGAAGAAGAAAGTTTTCTGTGTAATCGGTCGTGATTGAATAAAAAAAAAGATTAATTCTAACTCAGTTTCTAACCGTCTTTCCCGCTTCTGTGCAGGGCCGCTGACATTGATGTCTGTCCCGAGATTCCCGCCTCATGTCCCACGTGCTCCCTGCACGTGGACGAAATCTTGGACAATATTTGCAAACAGAACATAGGTATATCATAAAGCCATGTTGTTGTGCATTCCCATTTATTTTTGGTTATTGTTTCGAATGTGTTTAAAAGCAATCAATCCTAGTTCGCAATGTTATGGTAAATAAATCGTAATAGTTTGAAGAAATTCAAAGCTTCCTGTATATCTCGTATGTTGAAAAAGCGTTTAAATACAAATTGTTCCAGGGTAGCTAAACTTCGGACACATGCGGGGGGGGGGGGGGGGGGGGGGAAACACTCTTTATTTTTTATGCAGAGTTTTGTTGGTACATTTGGAAACGAAGTCCTTTATATCTTTAGGGACAATGCATTTCCAGCAGTCTCCTTGTACTTGAGTGTTTCCATTTAAACTGAACATTTTGCGATTCCTATATTACAATGATTCCGCTCGCGTCTCGTGCTGTTATGTCAGGTCGAGTCTGGTGGGCAGCCCGTCGGGTCGGGTGTGTACTTAGATAGGGTAGAGTGTGGTCGTGTGTGGGGTCAAGACTTGTCGGGTGTGGAATCGGACTGGGTCGGGCCTACTCGGGTGTAGACTTGAATCCTGCCGTGTTTGGTCGGGTGTAACATCAGACCGAGTTGAGTCTGGCTGGTTGTAGTATCGGATCGGGAAGGGTGTGGCCTGGCGCATAGAGTCAAATTGGGTGGGTTCAGGTTGGATGTGAAGTCGGATCGGTTAGAGTCGGGCCAGGTGTGGGATCGTATCGGATCAGGTCTGGTTAGGTGTGGTGCCGGATCCGGATCCGGTGGGGTATGGTCAAACATTGTGTCGGATCGGGTAATGTTGAGTCTCGCGGTGGTTGGATCACGTAAGATCGTGTCGGGTCTTCTTGGGTGTGGCGTCGGATCCGGTTTGTTTGGGTTGTGTGTGGGAACGGATGGGGTGGGGTCGGGTCGGGCGTGGTATGATCGAGTGGGGTCTGCTCAGATGTGGGTTCGGATCGGATCCGGTCTGGTCGGGTGTGCGATTTGGATCGCATAAGGTCTGGTAGGGAACCGAGTTAAACCGGCTAGGGTGGGGTTGGGAGTGGGACCGGATCGGGTAGAGTCGGGACGGTTTTAAATAGGAACGCGCCAAATCTTTTTCAGTTGTGGTATCAGACCGGGCAGGATCTGGTCAGGTATTTGATGCGATCGGGTAAGGTTGAGTGGGTTAGAGACGTATCGGGGTCAGATCTGGTGAGGTGTGAGGTCAGGTAGGGTCGGGTCTGGTTGGGTGTGGCGTCGTATTCGGTAGGGCTGGGTCGAATACGTGTGGGGTCGGATCCGGTATTGTACAGTCATGAGTCGTTTCACACCGGGTGGGGTCTGGTCAGGTGTGGGATGGGATCTGGTCAGGTCTGGTCAGGTGTGGGTACGGGTTGGGTCGGATGTGAGGTCATAGAATTTCAGGTCTGGTCAGGAATGGCATCGGGTCGGGTAGGGTGTGGTTAGGTGTGGCGTCGGATATCGTAAGGTCTGGTTGGGGGTGGTGTCGAGTCAAGTATGGTAGGGTTAAGCGTGTGTCAAATCGAGTCGATTCTGGTCGGGTGTGGGGTCGGACCGGGTCACGTCGTGTCAGGTGTGGGATCGAATCGGCCAGTGTCGGGTCGGCTGTGCTGTAGGATTGGGTCCAGTCCGATGGGGTCGAGTCGGGTCGGGCCTCGGAACAACTCCAGTCAGATTGAGTTTATTATCCCTTATCTATTTTTTTACTATGCTCTGATGATTATCATATTAAACGTAACCTTAGTACACGTCACTGTTACTGCATGCGTCACGTCACTATACATGATGATAAAAACTGACCAATTCATCATCTGTTTTCAGTTGCTTTTGTCCACACGTCAAAGCCTTTCTCTCAAAGTAAGTAGTGTTTATCTCTCTCCGGTCAATGCGTGATACCCATGTAAAGTTTTTTTATGTCCTCGTTTTTAGGAGCTAACTACACTCTCTTCCTGTATGATGGTTTAAGGAATATAGTACTGATCATTAACAAGGCTGTCGGATTGTTTTTATATTTAATTTAGAATAAAATGCGAATAAATAGAACTGTAATATTTTTACGACGCATCGTTTAAAGCGAAATAACAAAAGGTAGGGTGTATTTCATGCAAATACACAAACTCAAGCGCCTGAGTGAGTTTGTAATGAAGCCTACTTTGCCTAAAAAATTATAGTAGAAACTGCAAAAATACAACAATCCGTCAGGTAATGTGTTTGGTTTGTGTATATCGCTGCATTTTTCCCAGCATTTAGTGCGCCATTCTTTTTTCTTTCTTTAATTTCATCTTAGGATTCCTAGAAGACGTCTCCGACTCGTGTGTTTCCCGCGCCCTCAAATGTGGTCCCTAAAGTGTCAACCGGTCGACCGCCGCGATCCTAGCGGTGTCACAGCAGCGGTAGTGGATGTGGCAGAAGCCTGTTCTGCTGTAGGTCGCTCTTCAGTTTGCCAGACCACGGAAGCTTCGGCAAACAGGAGTTGGCACGCCGCGACGACAGCGAAACTCGCGTTCGTTCGTACTTATTGCCGAGACGTCCACAAACAACCACCAGGATCGCGACCATCGACAACACCACACGCCAGCTCGTGTGGCCTTCATCTGTTGCCACTTCGCGATGCATGGACGGCATGCAGAGCGCAAGTTCGTCTGCTTCACTTGCAGGGGTTGTGGGAACGTCAGGACGCCGAGCCCTGATTGCCTCTGATTTAAGGATAGTCGGTAGACCTCAAAGCAAGCTGCCTTAAGGTCTACCATAGCCCCCTATACACTGAAAAAGCCTGGCAGATTGCCACGAGAAGTGGCCGCCGAAATGGAAAAGGTGGAGCGGCAGACAACGGATGAGAGAAGAGCAACGTGACTGGCGCCCCGCAGCGGCGTCTCGCAGCGGACCCGTAACACACAAGAAATGTGTTTCGGGTCCTCGCGGCAACAAAAGCTATGCGCTCACGTCTAGGCTTTCCGAGAGATAGCTCTTTGATGCTCTATGCTACCAGCTGCTAGTGCTCCAAATCTGCGACCGGGCACTCTATTTCTACGTCGTCGAAATGCCAGGCTTTATGGGTATAGAGGAGGCTATGGCCTACGCACTTTCCTTCAATCGGAGTCAATCACAGGTCCGCGTTCTGGCGTCACCACAACCCCTGCAAAAAAGCAGACGAACTTGCGTTTCGCATAGGACGCTACACACCGGTCGAGGACGCGTTCCAGGCACCGTACTGCAACTTACCAGCCAGAGTTTCAGCAACCGACAACACAAAACCGCAGGTTTCTGTGAGAAATTATCAATTGGACGATGATAATTGCCGATTCAAGAGTACCTCAAGTAATGAACGGTGCAGAATATCTAAACATAGCAGTCGAGGACACGGCCGAGGCACCATAGTTTTCGCTGCGTTTAAAAAGATCGACACCTGTGGGAACGTACGAATCAAACGCACCTGTTCGTTGAAACTTGCGTTGTTTCCGGTGTACCGTAACAATGTGTTTTAATGTTCGCCACAATACGCGTGAGTATAATGTCCGCGAAATATTATATATCTGTCCGCGTCGAATGGAAACACAAGATCTCGGGTTATGGTGACCGTAGAAATACAATCGCGTACACACGCCATTTTTTTTTTTTTTATTAGGCGCGATTACAGGCGCTCTTACGATCCGTCGAGCAAGTCAAGAAGTGGTAGAAGTGCATCGTCGTCATGGTGGTCGTCGGCCTTATGCATTATCTGCTCCCGTGTAAACCAATCACGCATACAGAAAGCCCAGGATTGCGCCGCGTTCATTGCGCGTGACTGGTTTAGCCTGTGATAACGAACACAAAAAGAAGAATAAAGGTCGTGACGACGTACTTTCGGTGTTCCTTAATTGACTCCATCGAGTTGACTGCGGTCGCACTGAATGTAGAAGGTGAGTGTGAAGGCTATATGTCGATCGATCACCCTCAGGCGACGCAATTGCTTTGTCGCGGGCGTCGCGTCATGGTACCTTCGCTGGTTTCACAATTATCTTCATTTCTTCATAATCTTGATGTTAGTGTATAAAAAAAAGCAATTAGTCGCCAGCTGTTCAGACAGCGTTAGTTTAGACTCCCAGAGTGTAGCGACATGTTACCTGCTATAGATTAAAACTAAGCTAGTGCAGAACGACTCCTAGTCTGAGAGTCTCTAACCTACACCACGCAGTAGTGATTACATGACCGCACTCCAGTACGATTCTCGTCCAGATCCATAACATTAGTGTTTAGATACCGAGCTAACCAGTTGGTGCGTACTCTGCTTAGGCGAAGACGAAGAAGAAAAACTGTGCGGAGACCTCGAAGTTACGGAAACCTTCGGCCTCCACAAGAACCACTTCAATGATGTCCTATCCGCCTCCCTACGCAAAGACTGCGCGTGCGACGTCACCTTTGGGGGTAAGTATACCTTAAAGGGGAACTTGGGCGATTTCTTCGAGGTCCCCGATTTTCCCGAAAATTTGCTGAACATACCAACGAACTTGGCATAGTTTATTTTATATACTGCTGCTCGGCTGGTAAGCCTGCCTTCCCCTGGACGACACACGACTAAAAAGCGCTATCTATTTGAATGTTGGCTTTTGCAACATTTCCCTTTGCCGATTTGACAATGCTATTGTGAATTTCGTGATACTAAGTAACATACCGAAACGGCTAAATGCCGGAGATTAAGAAAATACAGTTAGTTCGGGTAGCTAAACAACTTCGCCGGAGTACCCTGTAACGTAATTTATAAACAACGAAAATAAACACCCAACGCTGCTCAAGTTTTCAAATCGAACGGTGTCTTGTGCCGACTAGCAAATTGGTGATGATGATGATGATGATGATGATGATGATGATGATGCAAATGTCTATTTACATGACAAGAGAAACACCAAGGTTCTCTTGACTAACATTTTTTGAAGAATGTGCGCAACCTAGTAGCTGCTGCATCAATTATACTCCATCACTGTGATGTAAATCAGAGGCATATGTAATTAGGCCGCGAGCGGTACTAGCTTGACGAAGCGGCCCATCGCAACAAGGGGAAACTCAAATTATACCGAGCGTAATTGCAATGTATCGAGCATTACCCTTCTCCCCAAAGGTTTTAACTAATAATCGGATGTTTATAGCTTAATTTGGTAATATACATTTTCAAAAGTGCCCGCCATCTTGGAGTTGAAGCTCAGGTTATTTATTCTCGCCATTTTTATGGCACGTACACTGAGCAACTAGTGAACACTGAAAAGTATTTCCACAAAGTTTCATTCATTTTTGCTGCATAGTTAACGTTTTGTGAATTAGTTTTAGTGTCCCAGTGCTCATTGAAAGGTAGACATTTGGTCACTTTGAATGCATTTTTGCTCGTTCCTCTTTTTTAGTACAAATTTCTTTTTGATCACCCTACATGGAACCAAAAGGGCTTATTTTTCGCTTTTCCCGGCTAAAACTGAACTAGAAATGCACCTGTGAAATCGAGTGTTTCACCCTTTTGTATCTTTCATCAAAAATGTTAAGACGTCGATGAAGACATAGAAGGCTTAAAACTTTTTGATTTGAAGAATGGTACTACAAAAATAAAATATAAAGACTAGTTTTCACAGTCCCACTTTAAAGGCAATCTGCTTTGCCTCAGCGAAGAAAAATATACTGCGCTAAGTTATATATTAACAATAGATAGGCTAGGCAACGTTGACGTGTCTCTTACAGAAACTGTCATAGTGTTCTTCAAAATGAAGCAACAAATGCTTTTTGCTACACCCTTTATCATGACCAGCATTCTGCGCTGTTACATTTAAGCTAGCGGTTCCAAAGTGGACACTCCTGTGTTGTGTCCTTCCTCAACTGTCTAGATTAGAAGCTTTGGCTAGGTGGCACTAGCCACCGCTCGATTAAAAGGGTTTAGTTGTATCCATTCATCTACGGTCCATTAAACGCAACGATTCTTGCGCAGCCGGTCATCCCGTTCACGTCCTGGCCAATGCAACGAGCTTCAACGGGATCCCTACCCTTTCTCAGCTGGTTCTCAATGATGGCGTGACTTTGCTTCAGCACAGCGCTAGAAACCAAGAGGAACTTGCCGCGGCTTTGAAGAATTGCCAGTTGGAAAAGAAGATGGATGTGGGACACGGCGACTACAGTTCATCTTACGAAGGTGCCAACGTCTACAAGCAGGCGTACGTGGTGAAGACGGTCAAATATGTGTACCCAGCGCCCTCGTATGGTGAGTCCGCACTCTTTCATGAGCACTACATCCTAACTCGCGGTCACACGACTTATACCCCACACAAAAGGCTGTTCACAGTCACTCTTTTTAATGCAGGTAGGGGAATAGAAAGTTGGAAGAAGAGGGGGAAGATACTGACACCTCTTTACTCGTTGTTACCTCAAAAGAAAAAAAAACAAGTTTTTCGCATTCTTCATCTGCCGTGCCAAGTAGCTCGTACAAGATTTCGTTTTCAGGAGAAGATGTGATGCTTTTGGCGTTTGAAACGTGTGCGTCTTGATAAAATACCATGTACCCCAAGACAAAATGCACATACGCACAGCTTAATTCTCCACACACAGTGGCACAATTAGTAATGTTCCACGAGGAGCCGGAGTTTTTTATTACTGTTGTGAAAACGAGTAGAGATAAGAAGACCGTACTGCTGGATTTGCTACGCCACCAACCGCAACACTCGTATACAATGTATTGCCTTTCTTTAAATGACGAGAGAAGTGTTATCCAGGAGGTGTTGGCTCAACACATGGCAAAGCAGACAACTATAAAGCGGCTAATAAGCTACGCTTTAGAGGAACAACACTTCAGCCATCTTGGTGCGTGAAATAGCTTGTTTCCAGTCATCTGAACCTTCGTTTAAGATCGCAGGAAACATTTTTTCGTTCTCCAGAAACTGTTACGGCCCTCCGCGGCGGGGTGAAATAATTTCGCTTGACCATTCTCACGCTGTATCTATAGGGAGTATTCACTGGCGGCCATAGCTGTGTGCACGAATGCTGAGCGCGTGCTGATGGCGAGCTTCCACGGTTCTTTTGCAAAGTGCATTCCGCACCATCAAGGGTGCCGGTCTTAGCAGCCTATTGATGTGAGCTCGTTCTGAGCATGCGCTCTAAACAACACCCACAAATATGGCGTCCAGTGAATACTCCCTATTGGCGGCGTGCGCGAACTATAGGGGGCTCTTCTCTAGCTATCATCATCAGCGTGTGTGAAGCTGCGCGAAGGAGAGACTAGACAGGTCGTGGATCCTTCGGCTCGTCAGCTGTTTTCGTGCACTTTATGGGTAACACGAGTCAAAGCCTGTTTCACAAGTTCCGTGTTTGGTGAAGGGATAAATGATTAAGGACATTTTACCAAAGCGTGAAGACGTGAAACGCGTAGTCGTGCTAACAAACATGTTTGGCGCTGAAACCTCGAGGCGCTGAAATCGTGGTGTGCTGTTCTCTGGCCCATTACAATAAATCAGGATGATGAAAATAGAATATCAAACGCTTTACCTCACTACAAGGTCTACCGCCGCGATTATGATTTGGGCGAAATAAATTCCAGGAAGGCACGTCTGATCACAGCGAAAATGGGGGAGCCAAGCTCGAGAACCTGTCGCGTGGGTAGTAAACACTTCAGTTAAAGTGGCTTCATGTAGCCTGTTGGTTCCAATGTTTTCTGTCAGTGCTGGTCTCTTATAAGTTCAAAGTTAGGGTAATTCCTTTTTGAACTTTATAACCCATAAAACAAACATTTCCTCGAAACGACGGGCAAGAAGATACGGTTGCTGGCTTCGGAGTCGTTTCAAATAAATCTCTATTTGTTCACCGGCGCAAAATCGTGCGGGACCCCTCGCGATCCAAAACCTAATAAACCAAGCAGGTCGGGGACACATCAGCCTCCCAAGATAATGAGGTATACAGCTGCTATGAATTGCTACCTTTTGTATATTTAATGTTTGCCAACCTCCAGAATTACGTAATTTGTGTCATGGGCTTCTCAGCGAGCAGATTTAAATGGGAAAACAAATCTTAATAAAAATTGGATTTGACATGAATATCCTGAATTAGTCAGACCATAGCCGGCAATTTAAGAGGTTATAAAAATGTGTGCACTTGCTTCGAGCAGAAGTCGTAAAGTGGAAACTTTATTTGCGACATTTTCGACGCGGGAGAAGCTAAGAGTAACAGCAAAAGAAGAATAATAACTTAGACTTTGTCTATACGGTACCGTACCCATCAGCAAGAGTCGAATCTCGGTTGGATAGTATAGCGTTGGCATCGGCAAGCTCAATGTAGTTAAAACAAGCGTGAGGCGCCATGCAACACAACTACGTGCACAGCTAAGATGACAGCACGTCATTCACTCTGGGGCCATAAACTCGTCAAGCACAAAGTTGGAGCCGAAACTTCGCGGAGCGCGCCGATTAGACGTCGGCGACAAAAGTGCCAAGTCATCGTCTTGAAAGGCCAATCGGTGCGCTCCGTCAACTTCGGCCTCAACTTTGTGTCTGTCGAGCTTAGAGGCCCTGGAGACTGCAAAAGCTTTTTCTACGGGAGCCTTCACAGTTCCGACAAAAACAAGAATCGAAAAGGCCATGGAGAGCCCCGACGCACGCCGCGGAAGCTGTAATGAAAACCCCAGTCTTTCTTCGTTTTTTACATTTTGAAATTTTTATTTTATAACAAGTGACTCCAAGACGCTGGAATTCATTAGAAGGCTGATTCAGAAATGCGTCATACACGTTGCTTTTATAGCTAAGTTTGTATTAATCGGCATAGATGTATACTAACAGAGCCGCTCTGTACTAATGTATAGCACGTTGTCTGCTCACATCCTATCTGCTCCGTCACACGAGAGCACCCGTGAGGTGGCGCCACGAAAACATCTCGTCGCCCATAGCCCAGGAAGTCGCATTGTCGAAGCAGACCCTTTTCAAATGTCCGCGCCAACGCCTGCTCGCCATTGCTTGAGCACGTACTCTGAGCATGTATTGAATATGAAAGCTGCTCCAGCGTTCGGCGTGAACTCGGCTTAGCTCGTATTGGACACGAGCGCTGCGTTAGCGTTCGGGTAGGACTCGGATCCAATCACGTGCTTCGTCTCCAAGCAACAGTGACTGTCAATGTTTCCTGATGGACTTTTGAAAAGGGTAGATTGCGCCCGTTCTGCACTAACATCAGAGAATCAAGTTCCGATATTCTAAGCGTAACTTATACTATAAGATAGTCTAAGCGTAACTTATATGAAATACTGTAAGCGTAACTTATTTGGTGTCGAGTTCACAAAATAGAAACAAATAAAGTAGCTATCTATAAGAAACGAAAAGATCAAAGTGATCATAGTAATAAATCGATCGGCCACATCTAATTGATCCATGTCAAAAAGTGGGCGGGGTAAAACAAAAGCTCAGTCGGCCAGTGAAAGTACCTTTATGACCAAACAGCTTTGAACGCACCAGAATTGCATCTACAGTATGAAAATCTTGCCGCATTAGGGAACATTAGGTAAAGTTTATTAGCGCACTCCTCCACAATATACTTTGTTTTGTTTTGTTTTTGCTTTGTTTTTTTTACATTCGCTTGCTCGGTTATTGGCTTAATTTTATAAAGCACAGGTCTTACCCCTCGCCAGTGGAAGCTGGATTTTGGAATTCATATTTTCTCTCTTCACGCATTAACATCAAAAGCTGAATGAACTCCATGGACGAATAACTGACGAACTCGGCCCGACGGCACGCTCGCTTTGCGCGCGATTTAGCAGCTACTGTGTTGATTCCATACGCAGAACAGAAGCCGCTGAGCGAAAGTCGTCGGTTATTCGCAGCTAATTCGTCCCATGAAGTTCAGCCTGAAGGCTGCGTTGTTCGAATTGTTTGCAGTCATCTGGGAAGCAAAGGAACAAGCGCTAGCCCGACAGAATTTTTGTGTTTTGGATTGCGCGCGCGTGTGTGTGGGGGTGTGCATGAGTGTGTGCGCGCGTGTGTGATTTGGCGAAAAAAAAAGGAACTGGTAATTGAAAATACAAAGAGGTTAACGGATTTGAATATTGCCCGTTTGCTACGAGCGAACCAAAGCGTCCCACAAAACTAGATACTACCCGTGACCATATAATGGGGTGGCACAAGCGGATCCAACTCTTTTAAACAAGCCGGAACATTTGACGTCTGCACATAAAAGGTTCAAACTTCCACCGAATGTGCACTGACCAGGTCAATTTTACCGTGTGAAATCTCGAGACATAGTTATCTTCCTAGGCATCGTCTGCTCGCTGCACCGTTCGGTAGATGGCGCCACAATTTAATAGCGTCGCCAACTCGATCGTCTCCGAAAACGCACGACGCTGCCTTTGGCAAGTTTGTTGCTCTCATTTTTAGAGCGAAAAAAAAATACACCTTGAAATAATTTCACACGGTAAAACGGACGTACTCAGTGCACATTCGGTGAAAGTTTGGGCTTTTTATGTGCCGGTGCTTACATTGACGGCACCTTTTGCAGCGTCCTAACTGCTTATGCCACCCTATGTGCATGGTAGCCATGTAGTCACTTCTGAGAACTAGAATAGACATTTTCAAATCTATCTACGGTCGTAAAATGTCCAGTGTGTTTCGTTGTTCTTGTCGCTGTTTTTTGTTTTGTTTTTGTCTTTATTGTTTGAGAAAATGCCAGTGGGGTGATTAGTAATTGTATGATTTATGAGAAGCCCTTAATGAATTGAATGTTCACATTGCTCTTTACAACAAAAAAGCGTGAGTACATCCGCTGTCTGTATGACCAAATGTCCCGTGGCACGTGACCGAACTTAATCCCAAAAGAAAGCCTGCTTCACCCATTCTCGGAGAGAGGCTCGCTAGGGGCGCTTCTGTTTTCTTCACTGCGGGTTGTGTGCGCGCTACCCACGTGGTTGTGTTTTAATTTTCATAGTGCATGGAAGATCGGCGTTGCACGTGCTTGCACCTGCAGAGGAAGTTGAAATATCCTTACTCTGGGTTGCAAAAACATTCCACCAGGAGGCGATATACCCAAACATCTGACCGCGAATAGTCTCTAAGAGACTGAGAACGTCAGGGCGTTTACTCACTTTGTACTAATTTTATTATTGTCGAGTGTACATCATATGCCCTATCCAAAATTTTATTTGACGTAGCTGGCAACAGGTTATTCACTTGATCAAATAGGCCTTCTTTCATTAAATTAAAAATAATTGTGACAGATCTTTTTTTTTTTGTCCGTACGAGCCGTGTCAAGGAAACATGGAAATTTAAAGGAAATGTATGCACTTCAACAAAACGCACTCTTTTATATTCTGTCAAGTGTAAGAACTACGTGAGCAAGGACCCAAAACTATAAGTGCTGATAAAGCTGCCGATGGGACCCAAATGCTGAGCCCAGGGGTCGAAAGCAAGAAACGGAGCAATAAGAATATATTATACCTTCAGTGTTAACAAATTATTTCTAATTTGAACTTATAAAATAAATTATAGACGCTGGGGTAACCTCAAAATATAAATAAATAAAATTAACACTTTCACAAACCGCAACTTTCTGTTTTCTTTTGTTTGTATTTTTGGTCGTTTTTAGTTTATCAAAAAGTATGTAACAGATGTTCAGTTCCTTTACTGATAGGTTTCGGAAATCCTCTACTGGGATTAATCCCTTCAATAAAAAGCCTCAAAATTGTTCCTTTCACTAAATTCCTATGTTTAGCACCTTTAGTCGCTTTCTTTAATTATTTTATGACGCGAATAGAAACATTCCTCCAAACCTTTTGTCCACTGAAAAAGAGTGTGTCTTCGATACACCTTAAATTTTAGGTGTTCATGTAACATACAATTACAGATACAACCACTTGCTAAACAAAGCAGGTCTCTCGGCCTCGCTTTACGCACGTCAGTACATCATTATGCCCCCGACTATATTTTGTTTTAGCGCATCGAAACACCTTGGAACGTTCTGTTTAATCACAAGCCAGTGATGCCAGCGCAGGTGAAATGTTAATTAACATTACTGTGCTATGCATATGCTCGTAGCAATATATTTCACTTCTGAAACATTAGCCTGCCAAATAAGCGTTAGAACTAAATACAAAATAAAAAGGCAATATAATAAATTAATCTGCAACTATTAGTTATCTTACATTTCGACAAAGTTCACAATATGGTCAATAAACCACTGTCTTGAGTGTATACACCATACCTTGAGTTTTCTGACTATTGGATCGATTCGTATCATACGACCTTTAACCTTCCTGTTTTCTCTGTCTAGACTACCAGCCAAGTCACAGCTCGTACCATGCACCCGCATACCACCAGCCAAGCTACAGTGCTTCGTATTCACCCCCCAGTTACTCTAGGCCGAGCCACTATCCGAAATATTCCGCCCCAAGCTACAGCCATCCCTCGTATTCCAAAACAAGTTATAGTGCGCCTGCCTACTCTCCCTCAATGTTCAGTGCAGCTCATTATTCAGCTCCAAGCTACAGTGCACCTCACTATGCATCCCCTAGCTACAGTGCGCCTCATTATTCTGCTCCAAGCTACAGTGCACCTCACTACACACCCCATAGCTACAGTGCACCTCATTACCCTGCCCCAAGCTATAGTGCACCTCATTATGCAGTTCCAAGCTACAGTGCTCCCCACTACTCTGCACCAAGCTATAGTGCTCCTCACTATTCCCCACCAAGCTACAGTGCACCTCATTACTCTGCCCCAAGCTATAGTGCACCTCATTACTCAGCTCCGAGCTACAGTGCTCCCCACTACTCTGCACCAAGCTATAGTGCTCCTCGCTATTCCCCACCAAGCTACAGTGCGCCTCATTACTCTGCCCCAAGCTATAGTGCACCTCATTACTCAGCTCCGAGCTACAGTGCTCCCCACTACTCTGCACCAAGCTATAGTGTTCCTCACTATTCCGCACCAAGCTACAGTGCTCCCCATTACTCTGCCCCAAGCTATAGTGCACCGCATTACTCAGCTGCAAGCTACAGTGCTCCCCACTACTCCGCACCAAGCTATAGTGCTTATCACTATTCCCCACCAAGCTACAGTGCTCCCCACTACTCTGCCCCAAGCTATAGTGCACCGCATTACTCAGCTGCAAGCTACAGTGCACCCCACTACTCCGCACCAAGCTATAGTGCTTATCACTATTCCCCATCAAGCTACAGTGCTCCTCATTACTCTGCCCCAAGCTATAGTGCACCTCATTATTCAGCGCCAAGCTACAGTGTTCCTCACTACTCTGCACCAAGCTATAGTGCTTATCACTATTCACCACCAAGCTACAGTGCCCCCCATTACTCTGCCCCAGCCTACAGTGCCCCAACCTATGCTCCCCCAGCCTACAGTGCACCGTCGTATGCTCCCCCAAGCTACAGCGCCCCGTCGTACGCTCCCCCAAGCTACAGCGCTCCAACCTATGCGCCCCCAAGCTACAGTGCCCCGTCATATGCGCCACCAAGTTACAGTGCCCCGTCCTATGCTCCCCCAAGCTACAGTGCCCCATCATATGCTCCCCCAGCCTACAGCGCCCCAACCTACGCTCCCCCAGCCTACAGCGCACCGTCGTATGCTCCCCCAAGCTACAGCGCCCCGTCGTACGCTCCCCCAAGCTACAGCGCTCCCTCTTACGCTCCACCGAGCTACAGTGCCCCGACCTATGCTCCCCCAAGCTACAGTGCCCCATCATATGCCCCCCCAAGCTACAGTGCCCCATCATACGCTCCCCCAAGCTACAGTGCCCCATCATACGCTCCCCCAAGCTACAGCGCTCCCTCTTACGCTCCCCCGAGTTACAGCGCTCCTTCTTACGCTCCTCCCAGCTACAGTGCTCCATCGTACACTCCTCCAAAGTAAAGTTTGCCTCCTTTTTATGATTCTCTTCCTTTGAATGACCCGAGCGCAGGTAACTCTTAACATTTTCGCAGGAGTAAAAGCTACAAGTCGTCTGTGACCTACACCTACGTAACCATTGTAGCACCTTCGTACGGAGGGTACGGACACTCTGCTCCCAAGTATGCTCAACCGGCGCCGAGTTACGCCGCTCCAGCCCCGACGTACGGCGGTAAGTAATGTTATAGACAAACGAGGGTGATTCAAAATTATCCGCACGAACCTATTGACAATCATGTCGCACAAACTTTTAGAAACTGAAGTCAGTCATGTATATGGCATTGACTTATTGGAATGGGATGTTCAACATAATTAACTCTCACCCATCTGTCCAACAGTCAATGGATTCTGCGAAAGTATCGCCATTGCCTTCTCCGCATACTAGCTGGACACAAACATATACTATCACAAAAACCACTGAAATCTCCCAAGGCGATTGGTTGAGCAGCACCTGCGTCCATGGAAATCTTCGTTTTGGGTCAATTTTATGGTTCGAAGTTTCGCGGGGGTCATTCTGAACAAGTCGCGCCAAGATTCCGATGGCGAGTCATCGTACTGGGGTCGTTCTTCGCCAATTTAAGTGTCTTTGGAGCTCTATATGGAATCTACCTATCAATCTGGTTCATCTCCCCAGATCTCTTACAGTAACATAGGCCTTCGCCCATATTTCAATGCAGGAAAATAGGTTTAAATGCCGCCAAGCACGCACGCCTAATGCGGGCCCGGTGCAAAGGTGCGCGCTTGTTTCGGCGGTGTGTGGGTAACAAAATCTAGGTATACATTTGATGTTTCTAATAAAGTAACTTGTCATCGCGATTGACCAAAACAGGGAAAAACTGCTCACTCAATTCACCAAAATGGGGACATAACGGGACCCGGGCTCTACTTCTCCAAGGTCCCGTGACTTTAGTCTTTCTGCTAGAGTTCGTTAAAGAGCACGCTCAATGCTGTCATCAGTCATGGACGCGAACAGGAGTCCGGCTCCTTCTTTAAGGCTGACATTTTGCGGCCTTTCGTAAAATTCATTATCCATTCAAACAAACTTCTTTGCGACAACACTTTTTCTCCATACTGTGCATAGAATTATTGGCTATAGACACGGCCTTAGAGTAGAAAAAAAAATGTCTCCACGCTGCTCTGTTCGTTGGTGTTGTTTTTCTTTCTTTCTTCTTTTTTTTGTGGAGATTACAAGCCTGGCAGCCATTGTTTCTTGCATCGCATTGCAACTGAACTGACATAACAGGGTCAAGCCTCCACAGCAGTGAATGTAGAGACAGCGACCTCGTACAAACTGCGCCGAAAAGACATGCGGCCAACGAAGTTCTAAAATATAGGGAGTCCGGATAATATTTTTTATTAGCCCTCGTACAAGGGCCATTCAAGGTTAACAGGGACTTTTGTTCATAACGGATCGCTGAACAGGTGCAGCAGAATTGTACCCGGGGAGGATTTTAAAGTAATCCTTTAGTTTAATGACGTATTTGACGTATGTGCAGTCATTCCAGCTGTCAAGGCGGCCAGCACTGTGTCAGTGGCTGTGGACTGCCAGTGAGTGTATAATCTAATTTCTGGTGAAGAAGAAAATTAAACTAGCTGAAATTTTGAAAACATTGCAAGCACTGCATGGGAAATAAGCGATGTCACAAAAAAGGGCGTGCAAACGGTGCCAACAGTTTGGCGAAGGACGACAGCTGGCAACAAACAGACCGCACGGACACGTTCTACCGACTGCAGTCACGGAGCCTTGTTCTATTAGCGCCATACGGAGCGGGAAGCTCCTCTCACCTCTTTCCACTTTGGCAGAGCGAATGCTAGGGAGGTGGCGACCTCCTCTTCAGCTTTCGCTCTGCTTAAGTGGAAACGGGTGGAAGGAACTTCCACTTTACCCTTAACCTGTCACCGGGTATGTGGAGCGCACGTTCCTCTGCTTCTTGCACAGGGTTGCGACGATGTCAGAACGCCGAGCTCTTATTGGCTGATTGAAAAAATAAATAGTGGGTAGACCTTAAGACATCTAGCATTAAGGTCTACCCACTATCCTTCCAATCAAAGTCAATCAGAGCTCGGCGTCCTTCTGACGTCACCGGAACTCCTGCTGAAGAAGCGGACGACTTGCTCTCCGAATAGCCTTCTTACCTTCTCAAATTTCGTCCACTTTCCGCATATTCTTCATTCTTGCATTAGCGTTGGGCACAACATGTTAGGTCGTTGTCTATCGAGAACAGAAATTTTAATGACTTTAAACACGTGAAAAGAAAGCAGGCTCTTGGCACGCCCTTTCTGGCAACGACCTTTTACTTGTTAAAAACACTACCCAGCTCTGCCTCCCAAGGAATTTCCGTTTGCTCCGCTTCGGCAGGACTTCGGAGCTTGTTTATGCCTCAAATATCTAAGACGCGTAAAGTTCAACCAAGTTTCGTGATTTAAGGGGGTTAGCATGGGCGAATTAAGGAGTACGGAGAACAGCTCCCTCCCCAACCTTCCCCCCCTAACGCTTCCCACGCTCAAATTTTCAACGAAAACATCGACATACACCAATCACTTTAGGAAGAAATTTTTATTCTTGGTATCATATTAGCAAATACAAAATACATTTGCCAAACGTATGGCCCTTGACATCCCATTCATTCGTGACGTCATACCTTTGCACAAGCCCCCCCCCCCCCCCCTAAGCCTGTACATCCGCTCCTGGTCCTTATGGTGTAGTCTTCAACATGCAAGAGCCGATCAGTCATCATAAGGAAGTGTTCATAAATATGTAAAAAATATCTCGCTGGCCGATCCTTCAGCTAAGCAACTGGTGATGAAATAGTTCGCGGACGTTGCAAGGAGAGGCGGTGTGGGTGGGGTATTGTTTGTCTTCCCATTTGCCTGGAAGCTTCCAGGGACGCGAAACTTTTCCTCCTTGCGTCATTATCATGAATGGGGTGTACAGACTTTGAGTGCGCTCCCTCCGTTCGGTGCGTTGCAGGTCAGCGAAGCAGCGGCTACAAGAACCGGTATCCGAGCGGCGACCCTGCCAACATCGAATACGACGCCACGTACGAGCCCAACCCGGGATACGCACCACCCGGATACTCGGCTGTCGTGCCCGCCTCGGAATACAGGCAGTACAAGGCATAAGTACGCATTTGTTTTTAATTGGATTTCAGTGGCTCAGTGGCACGTAACATCTCGTTAACGCTACAAATATTGCGAGCCTTTGTCGAACCATCCCGGGTAGCACACCGTATTGGGCCAGCAGTTCGCTTTGTTCTGATAAGTATAGCCGAGATAGGACCGCACTTAACCTTCTCTGGCCAGTCTGGGCATCTTGGCCCTGATTCGCCAAACAAGTGCCAAGGTTAACCATCCCTGCTGTTAGTTTGGATGTTATCTGGCAACTTCGTGCCTAAATCACCAAACAAGTGCCAGATTTAGGCTTCACTGTTGCTTCTTCAATTCATACGTGGCATCTTTAGCTCAAGTCTGAAACTTTCGCGACCATGTGACGAGCCAGAGCCAGGGCTTGTGTGCTGTGCGTGTTCCTTTTCTTTTCTCTTGTGTTTTCGTGCACTGTTCTGTTCACTATGAGCCAGAAAGAAGCCATATATAAATGCCGAAGAAACGCCTAATAAAAGTACTATGGCACAAAACTGTACTAGGCCTAAGCTGGGCCAAAAAATTGCCAAGGTTATGCCAAGTTGAGCGTTTCTCTGGCTTGCTACCCGGGTTATTAATGTGACACAAGGAAACGATATACCCACAAAGTACTGCGCCCCTCTTCCGTGAGGGGGCGCCCGTTCGTTCTCAATTTCCGCGCGTGCGCGTAAAATCATCGAACTCCTGTCGCACATCTGTTGAACTTTGCGATAGGCGTTCGAAAGAGTCAAACCTTGTGGAAATTGAACCTCGGGAGGTTCGCGACGTCTCTCCTTTTAGCATGCGACCGGTGGGCAGGATAGATAGAGGCATGCATTGCGACTGTGTTCCATTTGCATCGGGTGGTGACTTGCGCCACCTGGCCAAACAGTTTCCATTAGTTCCAGAATAAATCATGTTTAAGCCAACTTAATAAGATGGAATCACTATCCGTTCCTTGATTTTAGCAACCATTCTTCTTATATTATTTTACTGAGCGCTACTTATTTAGAACATCATGTTTTTCCATTCTGATCAAATCCCAGGGACCCGAGAAAGTCAGTCTCTTCGCGGAGCCCCTTGATAGGAACTAGCGCTCCCTCAAAGGCGCTCCACAAAACACTGCGGATTACCAGCGCGACGCAGTGTTTGCAGCCGCGCTTGTGAGGAGGCGCTCGTAGTATGGAGCGGCTAAGGTACAGACTCCCACAATCTTAAAGACCCATTCTTCAAGGAAGATTAAGCGGAGGCGTTAAGCACAAAACCATGGTAGCGTTTTTAGACGAGGATGAAGAGGAGAATAGACACACACGAGCGCTGCGATCGTGTGTCTAGTCTCTTCATCGTCCTCGTCTAAAAGCGTTGCCATGCCCTTCACATCCCAGTACCAACTAGCCCAGCATTTTGTATTGATAAGGCGTTAAACACATTTTATTCAGGGTCTCTTGATGACATTTCTAGAGAAGTCATCATTTTTTCCCATCGCTTAATCGAATTTTCCCTCGTCTGCTGGTAGAAGAAATGTGCCTAAATTTAACACACCTAAAATTTACGTACACACCATTCCAAAAATCGCCTTCTGCGCGCTGCCATCTTTGTCTGCAGGGCTGTGGAACGTCTTCTGAGCATGCGCTTTTCTGTGGTATGTCAGACGCATGTGTTCACAGCTCAGTGACTCAGCATTTTTCTCCAGGGGTGATTACCGCTGGAAAGGTATAAACGGCCTGTAAGTTCGTCCGCTCTCTGCGCACCTCGTGCACTTGTTTACCCCCTACTTCAACCAACGGTGGCGTGAGCTTAGCTGCTTCACCGTCGCGTGCTCTTGCGACCGACCAATCGGAAATGAAAAACATGCGCTTCTTGTACGCTTTGTTACTCGTTATTAACTTGAAACGTTTATCGGCTAGGTTTTCAGGTCAAGTGAAGCCTCGGAAAGCGTAACCGCGAGTTTCTCCGCTAAATTTAGTGTGGAAATTGGAGACACGTGGCTTTGAGTCCCGTGACCTATACAGAAATTCAGTTTTAGAGTGCAGCTCTTAGGCGCCCGTTTCCAGCTTGAGCGGCATCGGCGTCGCCGTCGCCGTCGCCGTCAGAGTAACCGCGCGGTAAATTATAGGAAATGGCCCATAATACAACGCGTAGGACTCGTGACGTCGCAAGTGACGTCACGACGGTCACGTGACGTCACGAGGGTCACGTGGCGTCAAGAGGGTCACATTATGTCACGAGGGTCACGTGACGTCACCAGGGTCACGTGACGTCACCAAGGTCTCGTGACTCACGAGGGTCACCTAACGTCACGTGAGGTCAAGGGGGATGGAGGAGGACAGGAGGAGGAGAGGGTAGGGATAAGGGGGAGGGGCATACCGTCCCCTTCTATGCTCTCCCCTCCTCGAAAGAGTGCTGCGCTCTAATTCGGCGTAACAAGAAGTTGTAAACAACCTTCAATTTTTCCGCTAAAGTTAGCTCAAAAATTTACGTCACGTGGCATGATGACGCCGCGTGACCTATACACGTACATTCAGTTTACCTGATACTCCCCATACTGTGTGGACACAGGCCGACCCGACGGGGAAAGCCAATGGGTCAATGAGTCAATAAGTCAATGGGGTTTGGCGGAGTCAGTAGGGTCAAGAAGAGCGGGAGGAGTCATTGGGGCGGAAAGGATTGAAGACACGTGGGGAGGTGAGTGGGGTGGGGAAGAGTGGGAGGAGTCAAGGGCGCGCAGAGGAGTGAAGACACCTGGAGGCCCAGCTCGAAAGAAAACGCCTCGAGGTTAAACGATACACCAAAAACGCTTTATGTAACAATACAAAGACGATATGCGAAATGCACAGTGCCATGTAGTGGGGCACCCAAGAACCTGCTCTGTCTCACCCGTTGGCTACGGCGCTGACAAAGGACAGGGCGCAAAAGCGTAGTTCTGAAAAATCCTTCGCTCGCACAAGCACTCGCGCAGAGAAAGCGCTTTCGAAAACCAGGCGCCCCGCGCCCCTGCCTTCGTCGCTACTCAAATTTCGAGCTGAAATGTATGTCCGCCATGTTGGTTCCGGCGAGATACCAGCGGCCGACGAGCACGTAATGCGCATGAAGAGCATAAGACAATCCCTTAGCTCGCAAGTGTGGCTCTGGATGGATGAGGGTGAGCAATATTCCTCGGTTGTTACCGACTACGCTACGACAAACAGCAACGACGACGTAGTATTCGTGCCCAATCTTTAACCGCTTTTGATCGTAGTGTGATGATGTCAAAGATCGAGCCACACGCCTTACTGGGTCAGGTTCTGTGAACAAAACCAGAGCAGTAACTTACTGATCAAATCTTATCTTTCGGAACCATCCAACTCGAGTACCTGGTATTCGCGAGAAATTTGATATCCTAAGAGGTGCGGTACGTACACAAGACATTGTAGAAAGTTGCGTTTTAAATGTGTCTGTTTACTTTCCGGGAGAACGTCTCGCAGAAATGCCCACCACTCGACCGGAACTGGGTGTGATGTTATATGTGATCCATTCTTTTTCTCATATTTATTATTTTCTACAATCAATCATAAGCAGTTCAGCTCCATCCCCGATGTCAGATCGTTTTTGTGTAATGGTGTCTTACTCCCTTCTTCCTTTTCAGGTGAACAAAACGACTGACTGACGGAAAAAAAAAATTATCGTTTCAGCCATGAAGTTGGCGTTGGACATCGAGTACTTCTCTGGAATTCTTCATCGGTTATACTTCAATACAACAAGTGCCATGTCTAAAAGACTCAGAGCCTCCGGACGAATTCTACGAGACGTGACTTGATCCATTAAAAACCGTTCAAATTTCAATCGGCCCTGGAAAAAGAAAAAGAAAAAGAGGAACTGTCGATTCGCGCGTAGAGTCGCTATACTCTTCCGGTAATGCATTACCGTTTAGAAGTTTGTTTGATGTTTACTTATGCTTTGCTTCTATTTCATGTTCTCGGTTTCGCTTATCTTTTAAGTCACGTTCGCAGTGCGAGTACACCATACAAAAGACGATCTGCAGGCATTGTCTGAGGCATATGTTTCTTCTTAGCATGACGGCTCAGTCACGTCGGTCAGACAAACACTGCCCGCAGACAGGTTACAGGCACAGAGATGTACGAAGCAAACATACCTCCAACATTGTCTGAATAGACACTTTTCAAAGGTCCACCAAGGAGCGTTAGCGGTCGCCATTGCTCGGCTAGGTGGCGCAAGGTACCGCCCGTTACAAAGGGTATAGAAATTAGCATCCATCCCTGGGACTCGAGGTGCGTGATTGGATCCGAGTCATCGCCGAACGATGACGCAGCGCTCGTTTCCAATACGAGCTCAGTGTGTATTTCATCAAACAATAGCGGACGGGGGTTGGCGTGGACCTTTGAAAAAAAAAATAAAGGGTGTATTCACCGTGTCTTTCGTATGATGTGTGAGCCAATGTTACTAGATCAGCTCAGTTGACAAGCTCCGCATTAGCCCCGCTTCAAAAAGCCGGCCCCCTCCGTTCTCGCGAGCGTGGTGGCGCTGTCGTCGCAGCCCGCCCTGTCCGCAAGGCCGGTCAAGCTCTTGACAAGCTCCGGACGCTGGCTTTTTGTTCCGAAATCAGGCGGTCGGCGGCACCGTCAACGGCCCTCGCCCAGTTTTTTTTTTTTTTTTAAGAATGGGACTCTCCAAGTAGATTCTGCTGCAGTCACGATTGTAATTATGCACGCTAAAGATTTCTTTGATTTTTATTCCATAATTCATCAAATAGCAGCATAGGTGCCTAGATTTGGGTCTGGCTTCCGGGTGCTATACTATGTTCGTGTAATATCAAACTATAACGGGATTTATTTTCATAGTTGATGTCTCTCATATTCGTCGATGACCAGCATCCAAAAGCAGAGACTCGCGTGCGCTGGTCGAACGCGAACAATATGCGTTTTCTGCCCTTTATTTGTTACCCCAACAAACCTTAGGCAAGGCTAAAATTGCAGATGAATACTGTGCAACGTTTATTTCTTTTG